GACCGGAAGACGGAGGAAGTGGGATAGAGAGAGAAGAGAGGAGAGTTTTAAAATACCTAAAATGTCATTGCATTTAAATTTTAATTCAAAATTACCAAAATTATAAATTTCTTAATTTATCTATTGATTTGTGGTTGAGATTGGACTTTATGGTTACCACAAACTAATTAGTTCTCATTTGATTAGGCCCTACATTGGGGCCCATTCAAGGAAAAACTGACTAATTTGTGGTAACCGTGAGATTCAATCTCAACCACAAATCAATAGATAAATTAAAAAAATTATAATTTTGGTAATTTTGAATTAAAACTTTAATCCAAGGACATTTTAGGTATTTTCTCTCCTCTCTTCTTTCTCCGTCCTTCGTCCTCCGGTGATACCATTGTGATACCTAAAAATATTGACTCCCTTAAACAAAAAACACAATGTGATACCCAAGTACATATAAGATGCATTGTAATACCACAATGTAACGTCTCCGATCGATCACACAAACGACCTCAGTGTGATACTCAAGCACATATAAGATGCATTGTGATACCATTGTGGTATCACCGGAGGATGGTGGGCGGAGGCCGAAAGACGGAGAACGTGGGACGGAGAGAGAAAAGAGGAGATATGAGAGTTTTAAAATACCTAAAATGTCCTTGCATTAAAATTTTAATTCAAAATTACCAAAATTATAAATATCTTAATTTATCTATTGATTTGTGCTTCATGGTTATCACAAACTAATTAGTTCTCATTTGATTAGCCCCCTACATACATATATACATATATATATGTATATATACATATATACATACATTTAGGGGCAGGTTCAAATGAAAGCCACATTTTTTTTGTAAACATGAAGATAAATATTGGTCATTGATCAAAATTTAGAAAATTAATCAATGGTTAAAACATAAAAAAAAAAAGTTAATTAAGAAATGATTAGGGATAAAAATGGACATTGACTTTTTATTTTCCTTTTTCATCAATAAACTTTTATCCCATTTAATTTTTTAATTAAATTATCTTAAAAATAATCAATATTTTATTCAAACAAATTACATAAAAAATCAATTATTTCATTCTCTACGATTTGACATTGATCTTGACATAGTTTTTTTGTTTCTAATTTTTTTATGTCAAATAGTATATCTCTGTAATAATAATTATGAATATTTATGCAAGTTCATATGCCTACAACAACTCTTTAATATTCATACATTAGTATGATATTCATCATGAATATACAACCTAGTATAACATTCATCATGAATAGTTATACATTCACGTGTATTCAAACAAATCTCAGTATTCATACATCACTGTGACATTCATCATTAATATATATATTTTCATTATAACATTAATCATGAATATACGTTTTCTTTATAATATATATATATATATATATATATATATATATATGTATGTATGTGTGTGTTTTCACGTGTATGCAATAACTCTTCAGTATTCATACATCAATATGATACATACTATTCATCATGAATATTTATATATGTTCACGTGTATACAACAACTTTTCGACATTCATACATCAGTATGATATTCGTGATGAATATACAATTTTACTATAGCATTCATCATTAATATATATACTATTCATCATGAATATACTTACTTTTTGTGATAACCGGGTTTTCGGTTATATAAATTTGGGGTGATTTTGAAAGATTTTGGTAAGTGAAGTGATTTAAAATGTTTATGTATTTATGTGATTACTTGCTTAAAATAATACCACCGCCTATGATTATATGTATAGGTTATTACATGGGGTTGAGTGTAAGTTATGGTTATCAAATTATTAAACTCCACCACCTGTGAATTTTTCATGGTATTATAAAGTGATAAGATAAGATTTATCTTTTATGTTCTGTTTTGAAAAGAAAGGAAAAAGAGAGAAAAACTTATTGTGTGTATTCTTGTGTGAAATTCTACGTGAATTTGAAAGAAGAATAAGTTGATTCTGTGATTATATTTGGAAATTGTTGATGTGAGATTCATCTTCGTATACGTGCATATAAGGTGAGTTATATCATCAACTTTCTATATTTGGTATTTGAAATATCGAACTATTTGGTTTCTATGTGGAAAAAGACAAATTGTTCTTGAAGCTATTTTGAGTTGGTAATGAAACTGGTCTAGAACCGTAAAAGTTCTTAATATGAAGTTTCTGTTATGAAACTGTTTTGATGTCATTCTTGGCGAAAATGACATATTTGGTTATGGTCATATTTATGAGGCAATAAAGGTGACATATCAATGAGAGATGTATCATAAAATAAGTGTGACATATCAAGAAGATGTGTACTATAGGATAAAGATGACATATCAAGGAGAGATGTACTCTTGGATAAAAGTGGCAATTGTGAAACCTGAGTTTTGATCATATATTTTGTTATTGCATCATGAGATGCAATGATCTTGAGTTATCACCTCTATATGATGTGAGGACTTAGGATTATCTTATTGATATGATAACAATGTTGTTATGATGAGGAAAATTGTTTATAACTAGAGAGGCCTTGATTGGTTGTGTTTTGAGTTAATAATGTTTTTGGGTTAATCTGGATGTTATACTTTGAATTATTTTAATAAAGTAAAGGTTTGATGAGGAATCAGAGAGACTCTGGTTGTTAAGAAAAATCCAAGTTTTTCAAATGTTTTCATATTTTGACCCAGAGGCTCTGTATGTGCTATACAAAGGCTCTATATCTTGAAACTTAATGACAAGTTCGAGCTCTGTATCTCAACTCTTAGTCCCTATTATAATTTTTATTATAGTTAAAACTTTTTTAACTTGATCTTTTCCAACCTTGGTAGAGGGCCTTGTTAATATTGTGCGAGTTGACCCAGACTTTAAGATTAGCCTTTAGTGGTCTTGTTTTAATTTGGCTTTGCTTTGGTTGATGGACTGGAGGAGCTTTATGTGATATTGTGCAGAGTGATGCGAGGAGCTAAGTGGTCACACTCTATGCGCGACAATGAAGATTTATGAATTCATATCTGAACTAAATATTTTCTTTTTATTTCATTAAAAAGTTTTATATATTTGTATATTTGCAAATATAATCCTATAACAGATTTTGGTGATTTCACCTTTTTATGCAATTACAAGGTGAATATTTATATTAGTATGATCATATGTATACAATAACTCTCTACTATTTATATTAGTATGATATTTATTATAAATATAAATTTTCACCATAATATTCATCATACATATACATATTATGCATCATGAATATACTACAGTTTTAAGTCTACATACTTTAGTTTTTCTTTTTTTTTCTTTATTGGGTTATCGATTAATTTGGATGAGTTCCGACTCGTCTCGACAGATTTCCCAAATTTATCTCGATAGAAGTTAAAAGTGGTAGGTTGTTTTACACAAACAAACAAACAATAAATTAATCAATAGGTTCTTAATCGATCTCGATGGAAAATGAAGGTGTCATGTTATGATTTTAACACACAACCATACACCAACTCAATGGATGGTTTCTTGATTAATCGTGATTGGTCTCGATTTGTGTCGATCGGTCCCGATGGGTTGTCGATCGATCTTGATGTGTCTTTGATTGGTCTCAATGGATTCCCGATCCGTCTCGATAAAAGCTAAAAGTGGTAACCTGTGGTTTTACACACACAAACAAGTAATAATCATCGATAGATTCTCGATGGAAAATGAAGGTGGTATGTTATGGCTTAACACACATAAACACATATCAAGTCAATGAATGGGTTCTCGATCTTTCTCGATGGTTCTCGATCGATCTCGATAGGTGTTGGGTTACGGTGATGAAGAATGCGTGTCTTACAATGTTAAAGAAGGTGATCAACATACAATGTCAAAGCTGTTGTACACTTAAACGTACATAAATATTCATAATTAATATAACACATATATACCATTTCACTTAAAAAAACGGTTAAAACGGAGAAAAACACTATATCAATATGAATGTCATATCGATAGCATGAAATTATTGTTTTCTTATATGTAATTTATTTGATTAAAATATTAGTAACTAAGCATGAAATTGACTTAACTTCATTTTTTACTCCTAATCACATTAATTAATAAATTTTAATTAAAAGCTCTATTTAACGTGAGTTGTTAGATCAAATAAAATAGAGGGTTGAGATTGATCTTTATGTTCACAAAAAAATGAGTTTGCAAATGAAGTTTTTTTTTTCTCTCTCTCTCTCTATATATAAATAGGCAAATGATCGTGTGAGAAAGAAGAGTTGAGAAACGTAAGAAATGATCTGGACCCTTGATCATCTTTAATCTTAAATTCACCTATGAATAGAATTTAATACAGGGATTGATTCGATGCATCTAAGGATGGAGATATTTCTTACGTTTTTTTACCTTAACTCTCTTTCTCACCGAAAACCAAACCTATGTAAATATGAGGTCCATAGTACCGTATTCAAGCTTTCGTATCCAAGAACCACGGTTCTAAAATGTCATCTCCACTTCAACGGTCGTTGCTTGTTTCCTCCATAATGATTCATTTCCATGCTCCAGTAGCATGGAAAACCATCTAGATATTTTTGGTACGTGGGATAAGATGAATCATGATAGAACAAAAACATGTAGCAGAAAGATGCATCTTTTCGTACCAACAAAATAGGTGGAACAAAAATTAAGAAAATAAAGCAAGTTTAATAAATTATTAATATACCCATGTCAAATTAAAACCCTAAAGCCTGGAACAATTTTTTTCACTCACTTACCTCACTCTCGCATGTCTACATAGGAAACGCACCCTCATGAATCAAACTTTGCATGTGGGTCGACCATGTTTTAATAGAAGAATCATATTCTCTTCGAACAGTTATATGAAAAAAAAAAAAAAAACAGTAGAAATCTACGCAGAAGAATCGTTGTTCGCTGACTTTGTAAGGTCTAACTGTTAACAGGCGAAAAACGGATGGAACCTTCTTTTTAACATTAACACTTGTAAAAGTAAAAAAAAAAAAAAAACCAGGACTCTGTTGGTCTGTTGATTCAAATGATGTTCTGATATAGATTTAATGAGCATTTGCTAGTTCGGATTCATTCAATTCAGACCATGTATACTTCTGACTACCAAGGCTAAAATAGTAATATTACACCTGGAGTTGAATATACTCATCATCATCTATATGCCTGAGGCAAGCGAAAGCCAGTCATAACTATTTTGTCGGCAAACATCTTCCCAGTCTTCGGCATGACATGCCAATGCAATGTCATGTTGAAGTCTCTTTCCCGGAGATTACTTCCCTGCAAAGAATCAAATCCATAAAAAACAACAAAATGTACACGATTTTTGAATGTAGAATACGTTCGTGTTGCATACTGAAGTTCATTAAAAGATGTTTATCCTAAATACAAAGCGGAAACTATGTCAGAATGTAAATGTTCGAGAAAACCACATCTAGAATTACTTTGAAAGAGTTTGGACATCACATAGATTCTGGATAAAATTCACATGTAGACAACATATACAAATCTAACTCATGACACATTGTTACTTTATTTAATTCATCTTTTTCTAAAGTAATAATGTGTCAGAGGTTGATTGGTGGATAGGGAGGGGATATCAGTTTCGGGACAGGTGTATTGTATTCGTAAGAACAAAAGACTCGTATCCGCAGGTGGGCGAAAATGGTAAAATAATGAAGCCAAAATGACCACAATGCCCTTTTTAAAGTTTATAAAAAACTGTGATTAATGATGTCAAGTATTTCAAGATGAAGATAGAAGTAGAATTGTTACCTGATCAACAAAACGGTATTTGTTAGTTGTATGGATGTAGAATTTAGCATGCTCTTTGGCAGGAATGATACCATCCCACAAGGATACCTGTTAAATTCATACTTTTCAGGTCAAATGCATAAAACAAAGCTTCGATGCAGAGGATCAATAAGGTTTACATACGTAAAACGCAAAACCATCCACCAAAAGCTGGTAAGAAGCAAAACGACAATGAGTGTCAAAAGCCCTTTGGAAAGAAAATGTACAAATCATGCAAATCGAGCTGAATACAGAAAAATACTCAACCAAGAGAAACTTGAAGCAACTATCGCACTCCCTCCAACCCAAAAATGCAACAGGTTTTATTTTGGGTTGTCTGAAAAAAAATGCAACATTTCCCTTTTCTTTTGGCAAGTTTTCAAGCCCAAACCTATATATAGAAACTATCTTCAGTCTATTTTCAATGACATTATTTATATAATCCCAGTTAAAGTAGAATATCTCTAGCATATCTGACTACTTCTCACTATGTTCTGCATTGAAACACCCTTTCACTAAGGGAGGAGAATGTTACTGCCATGTTGTGAACAAACTTGATCTTATTTATGCTGGAACAGCTATACTGTAATAGATAATTATTCTCGTACTAAGCATATCTTTTAACCCATGCTATATTGTTATAGTGGTCAAAATCTGAAGTAGCAGTCAGAACCATGATATGATATAGCGGTTTATCAAAATGATAAGGCGGTGCAAAATGGTCCATGTAATAATTAGAACTATATATTCAGATATATGTGTACATAACATGGCGAAGATCGTGTGAGAAGAAGAGTTAAGGCGAGAAGAGTAAGAAGGGATTTGGACCCTTGAACACCTTTCATCTCAAACCCACCCATGAATCGAGCTTGATACAGGATTGATCTGGTGCATCTCATTATAATGTGTATCCAAGGGTGGAGATCACTTCTTACGCTTCTCACCTTAACTCTCCTTCTCACCGAAACCCAACCCTACATAACATAATAGGGCCCGATTCAAACGAGAAGGTAGTCAATTTGCGAGAAGCGAGAAGCAATCTAACCAATAATCCATTAAAAAAATGGATAATAATTTTAGAAACTATGATAATTACCATTTTGAATTGGATCAAATATTATGGTAAGAGTATAATTGGAACAAAAACACTATTTGAATCCCTTGTTAATCTCATTATATCTTTTAAATTTTTTAATTCTAATTAATTCATAATTTTTTATCACGTTTGATATGACTTTTTCACTATTTCTTAGATACACTTTTGATAAGATTTTGTTCACAATTTTCGTCAAATATCACATGTGATATCCATAATCAATCCATTATCTTTTTCACCTTTTTTCCCTCTATTTTTTGAATCCACATTTTGAACCACACATGTGATTAGTTACGTATCACATATGATCCACTTCAAATATTTGTACATATCATGTGATAAAATAATGATAAACATATGAATTCAATACCAATGATCACTATGATAAGATTAATATCATATGTACTAATATCAAATATCATATGTGATAATCAGAATATGTCTCTCTCAAGAAAAAGATTTCAAAATATCTAGCATGGTGTATAATTATTTACTATTTATGTATATATTTTTGTGTGTATATATCCCAAAATATTTGGGATTGATATCTATTAGATAATCACTATTAATAAGTGACACTTATAATTTAATTAAGCCTTTTAATTTAGTTCTGGATTATTTTATTTAAGGTATAAACTTAATGAGATGGGTGGCCCAAAATCCTTCTCACCTTCTGCAAATTGACCGCCTTCTCACATGATCCTCCCTCTAACATATAATATATACAAGGGGAGTTTCAAATACAAACCATGTAATTCTTACAAATCCTACAAACCTAATCTTATCGATTGATTTGGTTTATTTTGAAATTTAAAGGTGGTTATAAAATGCGGTTGAGAGTACATTTAGGAACCAAAATAACCTACACCGTTGATTATCTACATATATGGTTGAGATCGGTTTGTAGAGTTTGTAAGAATCACATGGTTTGTAAAATAAACCTCCCCCATATATATACACACTGAAGACGAACAAAAGAACATGTAGAGAAAACGATGCACAATGCTAGAAATGAGATAGGAACAGCGAGTTTTCACACCGATATTTCAAATTAAAATCAGCGCCCTAGCCCATAATCCCTTAATCGACTTCACTAAACCCTTCAAAAGTCTAATTGAAGGACTAATGTACACTGGGAAAATAACAAAAAAGTGATTCAAAGGAAACCGAATGCTTCTGTGAATCCCAAATATCTTCAAATCAGATAAATCTCAATCAAGAATGAGATTGAAAGTAGAGAGAATTTTCACCAAAGATTTTGTATATTAATCTCTTGAAGATTACAAAGTGATTACAAAGCTAATGACCATTAACTCTAAAAATTACAAGGAACCTACTATTTATACTAAGAAAGCATTAAAGACAAAAACTATAAAATTGGAGAAACAGCTTGAATACAACTTTAAGCACAGCTTTAAACCCAACAGCTTCTCACTAATCAAATGCTTAGGAAGGGGTTTTCTAGTTTTCGAGAGGCCAGAATCTCTCTACAGGACTCACATCCAAATTGTCTACAAATTAGAATGCCCTCCCTGCTCCTCACCTCTCCTATTTAAACTAAACCCCAGCATTACCTACCTGTACTATTTAGTATTTACACATTACCTACTTGTACCCTGATTACCCAGCTTACAAAAATGACTTCTCAACCTTAAGGGTATGACAAAGACCAATCCCTAAATGCAGTTTTTACACCGGTATTGCAAATCAAATGGCGGCGCAGTTGGTGTGATTAGCACCGCTATTAGCAGAACTGCTATATCCCACCGCTATTTCTCCTAGGACCATTAACCGCTGTTGCACCGCAATTAACAACATTCCTTTAACATTAATTAGCAAATAGCCATATAGGATGGAAATAGCTGGCTATGTAAAGACCAAGACAATAGTTAGTTACTTTACAAATACACACTCACAAAACATAACAGAAAATGTATGTGGACTAGAGCATTCTATGGGAATCCTAAACAGTGAAGCCGGATTTCATTGGCAGCAGTTGATCATTCCCGTATGCATGATGTATTTAAGAATCTCAGGATCAAGCATCAAGATGACATAAGGAATCATGCAATTTGTTGAGATGGGTGTAAAGCCTCTTTGCCTATGCTCATTTGTTGTCTTCCCTGGCACTTATGTCCATTATTGTTCTGCTGCAAGACACAACTAAGGGCTTACATGATACACAACTCTAGAACCCTTCCACAAGATGCCTAGATGTTTAAGCCTCCAACAGTCATTTACATGGCATAACCAGTTGAAATTTTCAAAAACCATGATATTGACTCTAAACCTAGTAATCTCTAACCAAAAGATTAAATTTCTTCTCTTTTGTTTCCACCGCCATTCTGTGGTATTGCAACCGCTTTCCAGTTTCCACTTGCAACCGCTTTCAAGTTGCCTCCAAGCTTCTACATCCTTGATCACACCTCCTCATGGGACCTAACCAACTCCAGCTTGTCCTAAGAATAATCCCGTTGAAGCAATTCTAGGTGCACGCGGTATATAACTTTGGAATAGGTCCATTATACCATCTAGGCCACAAAACAGTGAGATTAATTTCCCACTATGACACAAGCTATTGCATCTACAATGCCTTGCCATTATTGTTCAAGGTGATGTATAACAATGTATGTTCTTTACTGCAACAACTATGTTAATATTTAGATTGTTCAACAACATTTTCAGCCACTCATTATACCTTTTAGAGAGATAGGAACCAACCAAATAATTTGCACTAAATAGGAGATTTAATTTGTCATGCAGTCCAAATCATCAAGTCATCTCTCAATAACTCCAATTTAAAATATGTTAGTTTCCCATTAAGGCACTGTTCCCTCATAGTTTAAGAGAAAAAAGAGTCCACCAAAATTTCAATATTTAACATGATCCAGTTTGAGTTGTATATATATAACAAAAGCACACACATTTTAACCATGGTAGGGAGCAAAATAAAAAAACCACCACCCTGATCACTCCCTAGAACTGACTCCCTACTCTAATTTACATTATCTTACTCCCCACATATAGGGAGCTCCTTAAAAAAATATTTACATTATTTTATTATTATGTGTTTTATTAAAAATTGGAAAAGGTAAATTACGTCTATTAAAGTACACAAAATATATTAAAATAATATATAATTATTGGTGTAGAGAGTATGGTTGGAGTAACAATTATAAAAAAGACTCCCTACACTAATTTCTAGGCAAATAACTCCCTACATTTAAATGATTGGAGATGCTCTAAGTAGTTATTCTCTTAAGCTACTCGAGTTTATTTCATCAAACCTAGACGTGAAATTCTTCATTATTTTGTAATTTTGTTCTTTTATTCACAATCAACATTAAAACCCGGCTAAAACCCTTAAAGATTGATGATAAATATTTGACATCTAAATTCATGAGATGAATAGTTCCTATGGATTATAAATGAACCCTCTAACACAAATATCATCACCAGCAAAACAAAATTTAACTTCTATTATATGAGTCATTTTCTAACAATAATATTCCAAATAACCATGTATTCCATGTGCACGAATCCCATTGAGGTGGATAACAAATATCATTAAGTGCAATAACAAGGCTGTACGCTACCTCCATCTATCAAGTTAGTTCACTTGTTTCATAAAGGAAGAAGTAATTAGCTTCCTAATGTTTCTGATTAGGCCTCTTATGGAACTTTGCTTAGAAATGTAGCAAGCCAGGCATTACCAATTTTTCTTCTCCAGCTTAAGGGGGTCAAATGTGTGTACGTATATGAATGCAGATGTATAGGTGTGTGTGTTTGTGTTGTATTTACTTATATCAACAATTTTGGCCCATGTGACCAACAGACCATTCACCAGCTATGTGTATGTCTATTTGGGAACACCCCATCATATATATAATCAGGTTTTACCTTAATTCTCTATAAATAAAATAGGAAAAGTGTGTGAAAATGGGTGTTAAATGATATACAACGAAAAGGCCTACCTGATTCAGAGAATTCTTTCGGGTTTTGTACTCAGCTGCTAGAAAGACGAAAACCTACAAACAGAAAGCATATGATTCTTTAATAGAAAAAAGAGAAACCATAATTCGGTAAAAGGGGCAGAGTTGCCAAGGTATAAAGTTACTCATTGTTATGATAAATGAAAGACAACCATAGTAGTACTCATTGCCAACAAATGAAGGATTACATCACTTAAATAGACACTCACAGTCAAACAGCACCTAGACTTGGCAAATGTGCTTGATGCTAATTAACTAGGGGATAGGTGGACCAAAAAATCTGCACACATTGATAACTCTGGAAGTTCTTTCCAAAGTCTCCTTCCCGAAAAAATATGCGAACCAACCAAATGACTTTACTCACACCCATTTCCTTTTGCATAATAAATGTTTTGGCATAATATGATTATCTTGTACAGTTGCAATGGACTACTGTAACTGTGATGAAGAAAATTGTATTAGATAAGCTATGGGAACTTAAACACCAAAGGAGTCTTGGACCTTAATTTCTTGAATTCATGATATAAAATTAGTTAAGCTTGGAAAGGTTATCCTACATAAGCAAACTTTAAAACAAGAGATGTGAACTTAGCTAGCAACATGTCTTAGTTCAAATGAATGCTTGTGGAAGATACATCCACTTCCTATGCATGAAATCAAAACCTTCCTCTTAGGAAAATTTGGCAGATCATAACTCAAACCATCCCAAGGCGAAGCTTTGTTTTCCTCATTGCATAGGTTATCATGATGACTTAATCATTCTATGCATTGGAAAATAAATACTTTTACCTTAAATTACGTTTAGGAAGTGGGCAAGACTCAAACCCCAAATCATTGAGCCAATAAAAAAGATACCTTACCACAAAGGTACTCCACAGAAAAAAAACAACCGAATTCATTTTCATCGCTTATATTTCCTAGAGCTAGAGAAGATCTTTTACTTTTTAGTATAGAGATGGTTGGATGCAAGTAATGCATTGTTTATCATTCACCTTCCAAAGTGAAAGTAGCAAATATTTTTCATACTCGTTATGGTGGTTTACCAAGATAAAGAGGTCAAAATCTCATAAAATCTGCAATCAATTTACGTTTGTTTTTGTAAAGCATCTAGTTTATCCATCCTTACAATTCGGATGATCTTCCATTTTGCAAATGTGTCGAACAAGTCAAACCCCTCACATAAGTTCTACATATGTATATTCACACATCTTTCTCCATGAGGAACCTTGAAATGTCATAATGCCTTGAAATTTTGCACATTACAAGTGCTTGATTACGTGACACCTGAGATAGATAAGAATTAAATTTGGACTAAAAGTCACTTGGGGAGTAGAAGGATTTCAAGTTTTTCAGAATATGCTCGAGACTTCATGCTTAGAGAGTTGGATCCTGCCTATTAATGGAAGCATTGATAGACATGTGTCAATATTTGATCCCAGAATACCAAGTTGAATGTTGAGAATTCCAAGCTTAAATACCATTTTTGCAAGTGTGCATTTTATCTTCAACTATTGGACTTCCTGCTGTAGTCCCAGTCACAGGTTGGTCAGTGTACCTAGCACTAAAGTTCCACAGCATAACATGCTCCTCTTTCACTCATGCAGTGTATGAAAGTAATAAAAGGAACCTGGTGATGAAATACTGGCTCTTAACCACAAATCCATGGTTAAACCATGGTTCTTATCCTACTTCACTAGATGCCAATTGCGTTGAAGTCCTCAGAGACACTTAGAATGTTATTTGATAACCATGTAGGATTCAGATCTTATGTTATCACATCCAGAATGTTATAGGATGCATTTCAGATTACTGTAGCCTATATACAAAAAATCAGCTACACTTGTCGGCCCAATAGTTAAATGTTCGTTTTTTACTTCTGAACTAATAAAGGACGCAGATAATTATGCTATAACCTGAAATACAATTAGTAACAAATTAACTATTGAATTGTCTTCATGCCAGATACCTCACCAAAGACGTATTCTAAAAAGCCCTAAGGCACATTTCGCAACCAGTTACCTTGTACCAACATTGGAGATATATAGAAATCCCAGAAGAATTCTCTCCTGAATCAGCTTTCTACTTCTGTCAATTATCAGAAAAAACAAAGGAATGTATATGCACTAATCATAGCTTCTACTTGAATGTTTGACAAACAAAAAAAAGATACAAGAAAGAGCGAATGCAACAATATTAAAGCATATAGACGAGACCTCAAATATCCACAAGTTAAAGTTTACCAACAAAATATCAATGCAAGATCAAATAAAGTGAATTTCCTGAATTTTCCAACCTGTTTTGTATTCCATGTAAACAGTGATTGCAAATCTGCTGATATATTCATCGTCATGCTGACCTGTAAAAAAAGGTACACCATGGAAAACTGGTTCAGCAGTCTCAAACTTTCAAGTTCTATAAGAAAAATCGACAACCTTGCAAGAAAACTAATTAGCTCCACCCTAGGAACGACACATGATGTGCTTAAAAGCCTAAAAATATAGCAAACCAAACCCTATAGAGCGGGCAATCAATACTAAAGTACTTTTTAGAATTTGAGAATCACATCCTTAGGAGGTTTTTCATATTACGCAGCATTCAAAATCATCATCACCACATAAAAAATTATACAGCTTAAATGCCAAATTGCCCACCCAACTGTTTCCTGGTACAAGTAAACTAGTCCCAACTAATCTTAGTGTACGAACCCACAAGTGTCATGAAAACTCAACACCAAGATTGATTTGAAGTAAACGAATTCAGTTCAGTAAACACAAAAGTTATTATACTACCTCCATTCGAAGAAAAATAAGTATAAATTGAATTTGGACGCCAAGCGATATCGGTATTCTAACTTTAGAATCAATATAGGTTCTTTATATAATCAAAAAAATTTTGAGTACTTCAAAGATTAATATCCCCCTGATTCCAGAATATAGACAAGTCCTACACTATAATTTTCTTATGTACTATACTTAACAAATACATCACTGGCAAATATTTGTTGAAAATCTAACATCAGATTAGCTTATTCAAATCAGCAATTATAAAATTCAATGTAGCAAGCACTTCTTCCTCGTGAAGCAAATGTTAAAAAAAGTTACTCTAACATCATGAAAAGCAAATATAAAAAATTTGACAATCATATTAGACTACAAAAATTAGTAAATCAAGAACACTTTCCAATTACAAAATATATTATATTCTAAATTTTCGAAATAAAAGACAGGATGTTGAATTTTCAGAACTAAAACTGCACCTTTTGGAGAAGGACTGAAGGAAGGTGTGAATTAACTCAAAATTGAACAAATAACACAAAGAATATACGAAGAATAAGAAACAGATACCTCATCATCGCCATCTGGCTTATTCCGGAACCAATTGATGTTCAAAACCTAAATCCCCGAAAACGAAACTGATCAATTGCCTCAAAAATCCAAAGAGACGTAACAAATTATCTAGTATAGATCATCAAATGTTACTTTATGAAGATACAAAAAGAGGGGAAAAGAGAGACCTGGACTTGGGAGGTGGGGGATGGAGAGTTGAAATTATCGGAGAAAGAAGCGATGGCGCACATTACGGCTAGTATAGTAATGGCGAAAGTGAGCAAAGCGTTGGCTCGGTATCCAAATGAATGCATCTTGCAGTTGGACGCTTTGGAAATTCCGAGGGGGGTGTTTGGCGCTGCTGAAAGAACTAGTAACCGATGTTCGTGGAGACCTCCGCCGTTTTCCGCTATTTCTTCCTTTTTTTCACTTTCTTTACCAACTCAAAATCATTCCCTAAACCCTTCTTTTTCAATGGCGTTATATATTTTCTAGATCAGAGGAATATTTGGTAGCTCTCAAATGGTTTGAAGTATACTGATTTAGATTTTTTTTTTATTAACCCGGATATTTAACTTGTTATACGAGCCGATTAATTATAGGACGATCATTTGTTTTACGAATAGTCTAGAGTCTTCGCATTTGAACCTCCATGGCCACAAGAGGATTTTTATTCCTCTTTGGATTTGAACCTGGAACTTTTAAGTACTTTTGACATTTGGAGCTCAAGCTCAAGCACCACCCTTGTGGTTTAAGAGACTTTTATGATATAGTGTAAAATTGGATATAATTATTTTATAATTGTTCAAAATGAAATTAGGACGCTTAATAGTTAAGAGATTTTTAGGATACAAAATTATTCAGAGAGTTTTATCTATATCTATACTATATTATAAAGCATTTGGCTAAA